TTATTAATGCAATTTAGAAATTAAATCCTACGGTCGTACCTAGGGTTATTTTTGGGTTAGAGAAATAGCTAACGGTCGTACCTTAGCTATCGAGAAATTAAGGAAGGGTTGGTTGTTTATCGCGTGCATGACAACTATAACTAATCTATTACTAAATGTTGGAGTTATTTCTGCATCAATGATCAGTGCATGAACCATTTCTGATGTGTATCCTTGGCTAGAGTTTCCCCAATCATTTCTTTTAATTAATTATTTTCTGCAGTTAATTTGTTTAGTTAGCATTTAATCCAAAACCCCCCATACTTTGAACTCTAGAAGAAACGAATTATCCCCAATCCCTGTGGATTCGAACCTGCTCACCGCTATATACAAAATCTGTATTTTTTTCGAGTAGGTATTTATTATTATACAGGTTCGGCACCTGTCACATGCAGTAACAAAAAAAGGGTATATTAATAAAAGAGAGGGTGGAGTATGGTTACGATTCTTTGATTGCAGTATAAAAGGTTACCACAAGGCCCAACTATTCTAGCCTCGGTCAAATAATAAAGGTTTGACAAGTGGGATGATTGACAAGCACCATGTAGCTAAAAATCACCCCCTTCCGCTCCTAAGAAGCCAAAAGGTGGATCACGGGATTAATACATTCCTGACACTACGAGCTTTGTACTTGCTCGGGTAGAATTTAGTGAGAACCCTTAAATTGAAGCTGATAGTTTTCCACTACTAAAGTCATCTCCCAGTAATATTCCCTACATTTCCCTTTTGTTTTTAGTTTCCAACAATACAATTTCCCTTGCACTGCAAAGAAGAGTAGAAAGCCATAATGCATTAGCAAAGGCAAAAAAATGAAAAACAAATTCCAAATGCGGCAGGACCAGTGACATACCTCTTCACACCCTGAATCCATCATTACTCTAATGGATCGAGTAACAAGATCTGTAGCTGCAATATAAAAGTATCTTTAGTTTTGCAAGCAAATAAAAGGTGCCGTTTCAAGTGATATTGAAGTAGCAGAATGAAAATACTGATTCACATGTGCAAGCAATCATATTACTAAGCAACTTTTAAGCATATAATAGCAATGTACTACATTATTTCCATCGTTGACTAAAAATGGTCGGGAGTAGAGAGTTGAGATATGTTTGTGACAGCTAAATTAAAGGTAAGGTGCGACTAAATAAAATTCAATTCATCCCAGATTTAGGGACCTGCAAAGGGGGTTTGGCAGGAATGGAATGGTAAGCAGAGCAAGTATATTCTAAAACTTCGATCTCTAAAAAAAAAAAAAGAAGAGATAGGGCAATTAGATGTGCTAGCCTAACTACATAGGGTAATCAATACATATTCTTTAGACATAGAAAACCAAAAAGTAATACATAATCCCACACTTCTCTCATGAAGCAGATCCCTAACTGTAGTGGTTAGTATAAACAGCAACATAACAACTCTAGCCCAAAACACAAAAAGGAAAAGAGCAATAAAGTACAATAGAGTTTAAATTTTTTAAGGCATACACCATAGTTTTTTTCAGAACACAAGCTACACATCAAAGGGTAGGTCCCAAAATAGCACAAATCCAGTTTCCTTGGAATTTTTATTTCATGCATGGCAGTTATAGGGAACTACAAGAAAAAATTTTTGAATTTAGTGGTTGCTTCAATTATGAATGTTCTGAAAAGAGCAGGCATAACCATTTATCCACTAAGAAAATTAAAATGTTACAAGCTAAGAAAATAAGAAATTGAGTAGAATAACAATACCCCTTCTTTTTCAGTGTCCATGCGTATCTTCTTTAGAGCAACTTCTTCTCCAGCTTTCCTTTCTTTGGCCATATATGCTTGGCTAGAAATTTGAGAGGAAAAAGAAAAAAATATAAAATTAAAAGAAAAGAAAGAGGGAAGCTAAGCATTCCAGAATGATTTGATAACAAAAATACAAACAATAATCAAAATTCATGTAACCATCTAAAAGGCAAAAGAGAACTCAAATAGAAGAGAACAGAACTCAAATCGAAGAGGGAAAGATGATGAGATGGATAGAAACATACCAAAATCTTTTGATACAATGAGATGGGGACGAGCGAAAGCAGAAGCAGGAAAATTACAGAGGTAGGAATGGGAGAGAAGATAGATAAAGTTTGAGGAAGAGAAGCACTGAAAGCAATGAATCAGAGGAATGTTGAACTGGAAATATTATTGCTCAGATAATTACAATAAGGATATTGCTATTTAGGAGACAAAAAAGAAATAGGAGACAAAAAAGAAACACACTTGACGTACCAGTATATGGCCATCTGCCACAACATGGAATCAAACAGGCTAGCAAATCACAAATATAGGACTTCTTGCTAGCAAAGTTTCAAATGACAGAAGAACTTTTTTTTGTTGCAATAAGTAGGCTACTTTGCAGTTATACATAAATAGATAATTTTTTTTTGAATTACGTTTAATAAGGCTAAAAAACACTACACTAAGACCTTCCTACAAAGGGGACAAGCACTATGCACGACATCAGTTTGAAAAAGCACAAGTTAGGGTTCTTTCTTGATGAATAAAATCTTCAAGTCCGATTAAAGATAGAGATAACTGGATGTATTTTTCCCCATTTCAAATCAGAGCTTATAGTGCAGGTAGAATTCAAAGATAAGGCAGTATCCCCATTTCATTATCATTTGTGAACATTGTTGTACCTAATAAGAGCATATACTACCAAAGTTTTAGGACTCACTAAAATTTAGTACATAATCCCATATTCATTTTAAGAATCACTTCTCAAACCAGTAAAGAGGAAAGCATTGAAAGAGCAAGAAGATGGTTCACATCATTGACGAACATAAGCTACATAGCAGACCTTTCCAGTTAAAACCAGCTAAACTCACAACAGATCTAAAACACAAAAAATGGCTTAAAAGAGGAAAGCATGCAGGCTAGCTTCGCAAAACAAATAACGGATGCGATTGTTAAAAAAAAAAAAAGCTTACAACGAAGGAAAACAGCAACGGCCGGGACAGGATTCAAACCACTCAAACCCAGAGAGCGAGAGAGCAGAGAGTCGATGCTCCTTGCACTGTAAACAGCATGTACCCAAGACGACCACATATTTTCGATCATCGGGAACCTAAAAGAAAAAACCTTCTGCCTAAGCGGCAGAGCAACATTGCCAGTGGAAAAGAAAGAGAAGTTAGTGGGAAGAAAGCAAAAGCAATAGAACCAGAAAAATAGGGAAACAGGGGCACATGGGAAGCATGTGAAACCTACATCAGATACCCCAACAGTATTCTATACCAAGGTTCAGAACCTCTGCCTAAGCGGCAGAGCAACATTGCCACGGCAGACAAGAGGGAGTTTTCTGGGAAAAAAACTAACGAAGAATGAGGGAGCTTTCTGGGGAAAAAAATAAAAAATATAGCGAAGGAGAATAATCAGAAAAAACAAAGACATGTTATAAATCTGGGGGAAACAAAGAAAAGCCCTAAACCAAAGTTCCAAAACCTGAGATGGAAATGATGCCGACCACACGTTCTGGAGGATTCCAGTACTAGCTTCTCAAATCTTCATCTTCTTCTTTTAATTCAATTTGCTTGTGGCACTGAAACTAAGAGCAAGAAAGCTGCAAACTTACAACCCTAAGCCAACGAATGGAAGCCAGGAGGGAAAGCCATAAAAACAGAAGGGAAGAAGCGGCGGTATAATCTTCTTGGAAAAAGGAAGGCAAGAGGAAAGAAGCAGCCGAGAGATTCTTGTGTTTTATGCGGCTAACCCTAAGCCGAGAAAGAAAAAAGAACAATAAAAATGGACACACGAAGCGCATCGCGCGAAAAAAATGGGGTGATCCATGCGCGCAACACGTGAGAGGACGACGAAAATTGCTGAATGGTGTTGGCACGTTATCTACTTATGTTGAAAAGCCGCAAACCTCGTGAAAATATTTCTTAATTACTTTTTTACTTGACGAACATCAAAATTGTTGTAGTATATTTATTTATTAAAAAAAACTTCAAAAAAAAATAGCAATTCAAACAAAGCATTACTCTTTCACCAATAAAATTAGAAAAAAAAGTGTTTTCAAGGTACAAAAAGGTCATTTTCTTCATCTTTAAAGTATTTTGGATGATTGTTACATCTTTCATAAATTATTCAATATTTTGTAAATTTTTAATTAATTTTTTCTAAATTACAAAATAAAATCGAGTAAAGGATCTTTCAACCCTATTAAAAACTTGTAATTTTTCATTAAAGAACCACATCGGACTAATTTTCACATGTTAAAGAACTATAAGTTAGTCTGTCATGACAGTTAAGAGACGATAACAAAAGGACACTTTGGAATGAATTATTTTTTCTCTCCTAAAATTAGTTTTAAATCATATATTTTGAATTGGGTTGAAAATATTACATAAAAATTAAAAATAGGAGAGACAAGTGATATTTTACCAATCTCCAACAATTTTGTTTTTACACTTAAACCAGCCGAGATATTCCAATCAGATGCCAATGCAACCAGAGGCAATGGTGGATCCACAATTACCAATTACCAAACACTAGCATGGATCCAGATTTATAAACTACATTATTGCCCGAGTCTCACATCCCCCATGCAATGGAATTTGGTAGTCTTGTTGAAACGTTCGTTATTATATTGTTATGTTTACCTTATTCGCCGTAGCCTTTTCAAGTTATGAACAATTGATACTGGCAATCCTGTCCCTGTTCAACAAGTAAAAGAACTTGTCTTAAGAGCAAGGCTAAGATTGTAAACTATGAATCCATCATTTTTTAAGTGTTAGTGCACAAAGTACGGGGAATTATTCTGGTGACAGTTAGGGCGGGGATCGATCTACTTATTTAACCTTATTTTGGATTAATCTCAATTTGTGAAACTAGTTTTCTTTTTCTTTTTTTTCCCTTGATTCTCATTTGGTATTGTGCGTAAATTCAAGATTTTTAATTAAACTCTGATGCATGCATGGTGATATAGCATAAGGAAATCAGGATATGTTTATAGGGACAACAAACTAGTACATACTACCTTTTTTCTTTCCTGGCTATAGAGCATTAATTACATGCTCGAAGGATATATAATGAGCAAAACTTTGTACATTTAATAGAAGAAGGCAGGAAATTAATTCCACCTCATAACACCTACCAAACAAGGCACATAATGAAGGACTTCTTACTCAGTAATGCCTTACCTCACACTTTGCATATTATAAGGATTTTTTCCTCTTTTTACTTTCTTTTCTTCTTGGGCTTTCTTGAGCAAGAAAAATATAGTACTCTATGACTGGATTGACTAGATTTGTAGTTACAATCATACGAGAAATCTAGTCAGACCTACTTTGTAACCGAACTTTTTGACGTCCTCTTGAACCTGATCTCTGTACTCCCTAAAGCTAAATTTTCTGTAAACTGAAGGATCCACGCAGCTCTTGATTGTAGTTTCATAGGACGGACACAAGAAAAATGCAATGGAATACCTCTCCTTTAGCATATTGGTCACAACCCTGTGTTCAACACTTTTATACACACCATTGCTCCATGCCTGCACCATCAAATCAACATAACATATGTCAAAGATCCTGTGCTGCAGCAATCAGAGTTTTTTTTTTCTTTTTCACTTATCTATATCTATATACACACACACACACACACACACCTGAAACAAATCTCCAATATTGATGATTAAGGCTTCAGGATTGGGTTTAACAGAAATCCACTTGCCATCCTTCACTAATTGCAATCCTCCAATCTGATCTTGGTGCAGTACTGTGATGAAATCGCTATCGGTGTGAGGCATCAAGCCGTACACTCGAGGAGATATGGGACACGGTGGATATCGATTCATTCGAAGATAGCAGGTGCTTGGCAAACATGTTTGCCTGAAGAATGTCGACTTATGACCCATATTTTCTGCCAAAATCTCTGCTAGCTTATGTGCTAGCTCAGACATTGTTTTGGCAAATTTTTCCATTGTTGAGCTGAGGTAATTAATGATGCAAGGTGGAAATGAGAGAGATTAGAATTCATTAAATAAACAAGGCATATATATACATGTATATATAGTAAATACATATGTGCCGCAGGGGGGAGGGTATAATCCAGAATATGACTTGGCCAATAATTTCGTACATGATCATCATATTATACATGCAGGGGATGTTCAAAGATTTATTATCTTACTTTCTATTGCAATGTACCCAACATATATAAGAGAAGGGCAATCCGACAATTTAAAAAAAATAAATAGGGTAGGGAGGTCGAAATACTCCACAAGTAATCCCAAAAATAGCTAGTAAGTTTGGTAGGTAGTAATTAAAGATTGGTAGGTAGCAAGTTTCGAGGACAGACAGACGCTGGAAGAAAATTTTATGTTCCTGTACCTAGCTACATCTTCCAGCACATTGCATGTGATGATTTATGACCTTTTACTACTTCTGTTGCCTGGCTGATAATATGACGACTTTTTTTTTTTTTTTTTTTTACAGTCAATGCAATGAAAAGGCACGTCGAAGCATGAAATATAAGTTACAGTCAAGAATGTAGTGAAGCTGTCTCAGATTTGGCCACAGGGAAATTTGCTTCATTTGATTCTGTCTCAGTCTCAGCGTGTGCTGCTACAAAGGGAGGGACATATTTACTCATATGCCCAACTTTGCCTTTGATCTTCAAAGCATCTAATTCAGAAGATGTTCTCTTTAGTCATCAATTTATCAGATACGTATGTATGTTTTTCAAAAATTGCAAATTTTTTTTGTTGTTGTCTTTAAAGATATAATAACGTAGGCTTATAAGGAGAAAAAAAAAAAAAAGAACCAAAAAATTCAATAATGTCATTCCTTTTAATAGAGTATTATTTTTCGAATTCATTAATTGGGCTTTTAAAAAGGAAATACTAATAGCAAAAAAAAAAAAAAAAAAGGGTATCCCACTTGGGAAGGTGTAGTGTGGAATGACATCAATACAGAGACCTATTATCGGCAATCAGTAGAGACACGGGGAGAAGAGGTGAGTACAATGTTGTGTGGTCTTCAGACAATAAGTGGAATCTCCTCAAGATTCCGATCCACCTATACTATATAGCTGACAAGGGTTCGGCAAATAAATGTTTTTCTTTTGGCGGCAAACATTTATCCATTAAACATAATTACATGTAAGTCTTTTCTTTTCTATTATTTTAGGCTAGAATTTAAGATTATGTGGGCTTGGTATAGAACTTTGGCACATTTTATATTTGAAGAATTACACATTTCTAGAATTTTTTTTTTAAAAAAACAAATTAGTATACGAGTAAGAGTGGAAGTAAATATTATTATAACAATATTAAAAAAAAAAAAGAAGAAGAAAGAAAAAGAATAGCTTGTTCTAAAGAAAAGTTTTAGTTTCACCTCATATAATAGAATGAAAATATATTTTTCAGAAGCAAAACCTTCGCTTGCTTTCCGCTGCCGACAATCTTAAATTCTTAAGAATACCCTAATAGTGACCTAATCTCCCTCTACAAGTACAAGCGTGACTAGGGAGAGCAAGGAACCAATCCTTTCACCACCGCTGTTTGGTGGGGGGGGGGGGTCTAAGAATTCGATTTTCTTGCAAATGATTAATTATGAAAAGGCTAGCTCCATTCCTTTACTTTGTCAAAGTGACAGTATACCCCCCTCCAAAAAAAATTTTTTTTTTTTTTGGTGTTAAAATTAAGCATGGAAACACTACTTTTTTTTTTTAAAAAAAAAAAAAAAAAAACAAAACGTAAGCCTAACATCAATACTTCGCAAGCCTAACAACTTGATCTTTTCTCCTGTAAAATTTACATGCAGAAATCGGTTTCTTTCTTAAGATCATCAAAACGAGTATTTTCTTCCAAGCAAATGTTGCACTTCGACCCTGTAATCCAAATATCCAATGATGGTTAGCCAGTTGGGACGCCTTTACCACTCACCAAAATCAAAATGAATGAAAGCATCACATCAACGACTGATGTTGTGGATGACTTGGTTGACAAACTAAAAGCTTATCAACCATAGACTTGACAGCACGTAGCACATAGTTTTGATTCATACATTCTTCAAGAATAATTGCTGGCTTTCCCCAATTATCACCCGCCTCATTTTTTGATTTTTTCAAAATGAACATAATTGCATCACAGATAAGCCCTCCACAAATCGGGATACTGACTGACGTTATGAATATACTGCATCGATTTAATGTATGGGAGATAAAAAAATATATTTAAAAAAGTGTAAATTTTCTTTAAAGGAAAAAAAAATTACAATCCAAACAAATCGATTTAAAAATAAAATTAAAATGAGATTAAGAGATCAATTTATTTTAGGATACCATCAAATGCCATCGATAACAGCTCTGTAATGTCGTCTATAGTGTTGATATTTTTTCTTTGCAAGAAAGTAACAAGTAATACTTTGGGAGAGACTTTAACCAAAAAAAAAAAAGAAAAAGACAGCCCAACATTTTTAATGCACATCTTCTACAAGTTTGGTTAACCACAGTATAAGACATGGGTTTAGTTCCTCCCAAAATCAGGTAAAATAATAAAAGTCATATTCAAATGAACTAATTATTGATTGACTTCTAGTAGTGATTAATAGACTTCTTATTGTACTAAAATATCATGTGCCAAGTGGCGCTGAGTTGGCGGATAATACATTTCCACCGTTGATCCAATAAAATTAGTGGTGCCTGTCGCTCTACTCTTGTTTATTGGGCCTGCAGCACTGCCATGTACTACCTGCAAATATTTTTGGGTACAAATGTACTACCCAGACTACTAATTGTGCTTCCAACACTTACTTCTAATAATTAAGACACTATTAACGGCCAGTTATTTCTCTGCTGCCAATACAGGTATGCTCCTCTTTGTACTACCTAAAATATGCACAAGATTTTAGCTTCAAAATCTAAATGTGTTTTAGGTGTATCACTAGTTGTATCTAGTCATCATATCTGTGTAAGCAAATTTCATAATAAGAGAAAACACACCAAAAATTAATTGGAGGAAAAAAAAAAAAAAGAAGAAGAAGAAGAAGCACGAAAGTCATAAAATTAAGGGGTAAAATATTTACCTGAGACTACTGCGACCACCTAAACCTGAGATAGCATTGAGAGGTACGTGAAAAGCTTCCGACCAAGCCAACTGCTTCAGGCAAGTAGCTGAAGGCGTCCCCCAACGGTAACTGCCGGCCAAGAGGCCGAAACCACTTTCGTTCATCTTCTCATGAAATGGTTTCTTGAAAGCCTTGATTTGCTCTGATCTCATTTTGTCCAATATTTCACGAGAAATCCCATGATTCAATACTTGGAAGAAACCCCATTCTTGGGATGCTCTAGCTATATCCTTCTTGCACCTCTCCCTGGCAAGCTCGCCCGAGTTTAGCTGAGCAAGATCGATCAGCGGAAGCTCGCACTCTTGTACGATGAAAAGGTCGTAGTCGTTAGCATACTTGGGACCTGTATCTGGTGATTTGTTGAACAAGCTATTGTACTGCTCTTGGAATGGTGGATCGTGCGAACCTTCCATGATCCAAATGTCAGAGAAACTCTTCCTCGTTTGCTCCTTTTATGGAGAATATTTTAACCCTACAAAAGAAGTTTACCATGCTAAGGGTTGACGTGAGAACTCGACCAGGAGAGTAGATGATGCTATGTAAAAAGAAAGAAGGTGAAATAGTAGAGGGGGAAGAGGCCAGTTCAGCACATTAATTACAGGTTAAAAGGAAAAAAAAAAAAAAAGTAATTTGGGAAATGCACAGCTCAAGATTAGCTCAGCCTAGGACAAGAATTTTTGTCGATTAGTGAGCTAAGGACGAGTAGAAGACAGGAAGTACTGGATGAAAAATCCATTTTTGCCATGTTTCTTCTTAGTTCGTCGTCGATGAAAACGTTAGCCACTCTATTGGCCATTTTTGGTTTGGAGACTTTGGGGACAAAGGTTGACGTATGTAGTTTCTGTGTTAAGGTGGAGGGGTGTCGACCGGGGATGTCTGCCCCTTTTGGATAAGATCCTTGTTCTTAAGTAGAACTGAGGGACAGGAGGCCCGAAGGTCCCAAAGCCTGAAACCCTATCTTAATCCGTACTAGATTTTGAAGTAGGAAAGCGGACGAGCAATTTGGCTATATGCTTGTCCCAATAAGAGAAATGTAGTTTTAGTTTGCTACTTAGCTGCTATTTTGCTTACGTATAAATTCAATTTAATGTGCACATGATTACATATGACTAAATTTTATCAATAATTAGGGAAAAAAAATTTCCTAAATCTGCTTTAAATTGAATACGTTGAGAACCAACTGGTGACTGCCAAGTACTAAATATTGAGGACTGAAACTGCATTTTTCCCTATCTCAAGTCTATGAATGGGTTTGATGGAAAACAAAGAGAAAATTTGATGATTATCTAAAGGTCGGGAGCCATAAAGATTTAAAGTAGAGTATTTTACAAAAGGGTCACTTTTTCTCAAACGACATTGGGTAAGTTTTTATTTGGATTAAGGTGGATTTTCAATAACATCCTGCTAAATGGCAAGGTGACTTGCACATTCAGGCCAACATTGTCCTTTTCTACAAAGGCTGCCAGCCTCCCACCTCTCACCTGCATATGAGCACCCGATGCTGGGTATCAAATCGGGTAACTCATAACTACTTGCCAATTCATATAATCACTTCGATCTCCTTACTTGCCTGCTATTTGAATTTGCCAAATTGAAGCATCCGAGCTATCCGGATTACGACCCCATTTGTCACCTTTTCAGCCTATTTGTCTGGTTTGTAGGGATTAATTTGTTCCGATTCAGGCTCAACAATTAATTCTAGGCGTTCGCGTCTTAATTCCCAAGAAACATGCATCTTGAATTATTATTAGTATTATTGATTAACTTTAGCTTGAGCTCTAGCTATACACCACGACAAGATTATGCGACCAAATTAAAGCGGCTACATGAATCTTGTACAGATTAAGATTTTTTTTTTTTAAATTTTTTTTCTTGTTTGCATCTGCATTCTTTTTTTATTATTACTTAAATATGTGGTTTTATGAGGCAAAAGCCAAATGTTCTCTGTTTCACTAGGATGCTGAATTCTCTCGTATTATTCCCACTTGCTCATGGGACATGCAGACATGGTGGTGCTTTCAGATCATGCTTTCTAATGGGACAAGAATTGAGTCGTTCTAGGCCTAGGTAAAGTGAAAATTCTTAGGTAAAGGGCCAAAAGGGAAGAAGCATCGCCTTGAAACTTAGGATTCACAACTCCCCAAGAACTATGGCTTCCTTAGGCATTCGGAACTATCCGATGCCAGTTTATTGCTCTCGTGTTTTTGTGAACTTTAAGAACAGCAGACTTTGCATAGAGACACAAGGCACCTAACTCCCTTTTACAGTGCTTGGATTGGCCAAAGAATTCCTTTTGGCCGAATATAAAGAAAATAATAGTACCACACGTATTCTTGAAAAAGAAAGGCTACTACACTAACATTCATTTATACGAAATTAAAAATACACAAAGAAACGAAAAGGTTGGTGGTCCATTGACCTAAGAGAACAGTCAGAACAACGACCCAGTTTTAACCTCTACACAACCCACACGAGCTTGTTTATTACTCAGTAGTAGAAAAAGTGTACAGGAGCATAATATCTAGGAAATTTTTTATTTGCTATAATCTTAAGTTAACAGCATGTTAGATGAAAAAAAAAGGTAGAATATTTGGATTTGAGTTGCATTTACTGTAGCAGTGATCGGAGTCGAATTCACACAAACTTTATTCTATCCAAAAAAAAATACTAAATACCTACATAGGTAGTACCCACATAAATTAGGTATTGCATGGTTGATGGTGATAAAAGCTCAAAAAAAAGTACAATATGGTTCAACGTCCTTTGCCTTACCCGGTTCATGTCTCAGGAGACTAGGCTAGGCTACTGCTTTCCAGTTCCCCCGAGGATCACTAGGCGTTGAGCTTTGCCCGACTGTATTGGTCCTGCATTTTAAGGGAGAAATTTAACTCAAAATAACTGGAAGACTTGAGAGACTAGTCTATATGTTGCCTCGTTGTTCCTTGCATGGCAAATGCAAAAAGAGGGCCTCCATTATTTTCTTGAAAGGCCGAAAGAAAAACGAAAAAAAAAATGTATAGAAAGACTAAGATCCCTCAACAAATAAAGCTGTCGCTGGACTAGAATCAGACCAAAAATAAGAATAAGAGATACATGGAGGATAAAATTCATATGTAAAAATGACTAATGAGTTGTGACGTACGTGAGAGACGGCTCAAGAAGAGAACATGGGCATTTTGAGAAGTAGAAGTGGAGGTAGTGGGGGTACTTTCTTATGTCTAAGTGCACAGTCCAGAAAGATTGGAGGGTGGAGACTTTTATAGGGAAAATTGATGAGGAGGGTCATTCATCAATCATTAATGGTGTTGAATTCAATTGACAAGATAAAATGGAGAATTTATGCTCATGAAAAGAACACGCGGCTAAGGATTCAATCAGAGAAAAAGAAAAGCATAGAATTCCCCCCAATAAAACCCTTTTTTCTTTGGAAGACTTCAGAATCTATAAATAGTACCCCCATTAAAGAAAATTCAACATTTCTAGACTTATCTGACTGCGAGATCAAACTGCCTTTATGAATTTCTCCAAAATATGAATGAGGCCACCAGAACTGAACAGTATACACACCATTTGGGCCACATTTCTGATGCAGCAACCGCAGCGCAATGGAAGGGTGGTCTGCCGCAGAACACATATTGGCTTTTTTAAATCGTTTAAGAAGTTGAATTGATATACTACATGTTGTTGCTAAAAAGCTCTGTAGCTGAGAGTGAAAGATTGAGAGATGGAAGACATATCCAACACAGTTAATCAAGCCATCTACCATTTAATTGGTGCATATTTCTCCTGGTCCATAACAATATCACCATTGCAAGTGCTTTAAGCAGAATCCTACCTATATCATTTGGCTCTTATTCTTCCAAGTCTTCCTTCCTTTTAGGCCTCATCTCTCTCTCTCTCTCTCTCAGAAACAGGGGCACGTGATTATTTCCGGACCCAACTTTGAATTGGAAAGCATCTCAGTCCATGTCGGCATTCCGATCGCAAGTACTTCTATCATGGGGATTAGTGTACATCACAAGGGATATAGATTAATGGATTTATGTATCAATAAATCAATAGCTAGAAACAACCGACGTGACCCTTGATTTGAATAGCAAAAAGTTGTGTGATGAACCATGTGGACATATATATATATATATATATTTGCACAGATATTTGCAAAAAAAAAAAAAAAGAATCTATAGAGTTTTGACAAATCATTCTGCACTGTTTAGGATGGCTGGAGCTATCGAAGGCTCTAGGGACGACACCATACACAAAGCATCCTCCAGTAATATTCGATGTTACTTTGTTGGATTCAGTCAAGAGTTGTAAAATAAGACCATGAGAGTCTAGGGTGAATACTAACGTATAAATCTAAAGACATAATCGGTGGTTCATTAAAGCTGTAAAGAAGTCTAAAATAAAGATAGATTTTTTCTGGGCTAGAGTGCGTACACATATAACCCAGAGAGAAACCACGCCGCCCACGGATGAATCCGCTACTTCAGCTTTTAGAATTAGTGCAGCAGTAAGACGAGAAATTTGAGAGGATCATGTGCTTTGCTTACATGATCAAGGACCCATGCACCGATATGATATAGTTTTTGGTGCTATACTACCATACCCTTTCGGGCATCATTAATGTAAAGAATTCATGTATGTAATTTTATGTTCATTACAACACGTGCCATGCTGTGCTTCTGCTGGGATCGGGGCCTGAACGTTTAGATACTAACTGTATTGATGGTTGGACACTTGGAATGCAACATATCCTTTCAAAAGATGTCCCTGATTGAATTTCTAATGGGGTCTACTTCGCATTTAGAAACCAGCAAGCAAGTTCCAGAAATTGGAGTTTTATAGAAATATATACTGTAGTTATGTGATTTTTTATTTGACATTAAAAAAAAAAGAAGGTAATTGAAAATTGTGTAAAGAAATATTTCAATGATTTTTCTTGAAAAACATGCAATCCAAACGAGACTAATTATGCCCCGAATAAATCCACTGCCTCATGTTCTTAGGGTTTCCATGGTCTTAAAGATTCACCTCTAGTTGTAATTAATTAGCTATTTCACTTTGTGACAATTGTTTGGAAGGGAGCTTTTGGTGACCAAGTGTATGGTCACTCGAGAAGCAAGACTTGACTCGAGCAGGCCAGAAATGTACAAATTTTATGACTATGCATAGGGTGTGCCAATTGAAAACCCAAGCTAGTTAGATACTTAGAAGATGAGGTCGATAAACTGCAAAAGAAAACTTCAAGATGACTAGGGTTTAATTCCATTACTCCAATGCTCAAGTCAAATTCGAGTAGTTGATAGTATGTATGAAATTCTTGTAGAGAACGTACATGCTACCAACTTAGTAAGCAGTGGTGTTTTTAGTGACATTAAAATCTCAATACTGACATTATTGAATCCAGCTTTTAGGAGAGAGTTGAATTAGATGATCAGATAGAAAGAATTGTAAATAGAAGGTTTTAAATTTAAGACCCTGTTTACACCAAAAAAAAAAAAGAAGCTGACTGTCATCTTCTGGATAATGTAGAGCTCCTTTCTTGTTAGATTTGCTGATGCTTGTTGCCGTAGATAAAAAGCATTACACATTCTCATTGGCCCAGTCATGGATGGAACTAAGGGGGCTAGGAAGGTCCATCTTTCCTAAATATTAGGTTTTTTGCCCTTAGAAAATTAAAAACTTTTAAAAAAACCTTTTTAAATTTTAATGACACATTCTCAATGACCCGGTCATGGACGGAACTAGAAGGCGCTAGAAAGGTCCATATTTCCTAAATATTAGAAAATTAAAAATTTTTAAAAATTACCCTTTTAAATTTTATACTTTTGACTCCGCAAAAACTTGAACATATTTTCCACTATATATTTAGATTGAAATATGGTGAACTTTATCTCCTCGGAATAAATTTTTTAGTTCCAACCACTATGTTGCACAGTTGCCAAAGAAACTTCGATCTCTGCTGCCAAGCAACTCTGTTCGATGAGAAAGATTTTGTGCTCATCATGTAGACACATCACGATTAAGTTTCATGAAAGAAATTTAGCATCCATTTGAATGCTGTTTTTTTTTTAAAAAAAAAATTTGTCTAAAATTTTACTCTAGTTTATCATAAAAAATTTTGTGTATTTAATTGTTTGGAAAATATTTATAAAATTTCGTCATTCATTACGCCCCATCCACCCTTGCCACCATCCTCACAAGCAACTGTCACTATCTTCATCCCTTTATCTGCCATTCCTTCCTCTTTTTCTTCCCCCCATCACTGCCTCCCTTTCTTCTCCCCCCTCTTCCTCCCTCCCCTTCCCCCCTCAAAAAAAATCTAATGCACCTATCACACCCTTCCCCACCACCACCTACCGCCCTCTCCCTCTTCTTCTCTCCCCCTCCTTTTCTCTCTCCCTTCCTCCTAGACCCCTCCCTTCCATTAGATTTGCTCTTTCAAGGAGATCTAGTTTGAGGAGGGGGGGGGAGGGGCAAGGGGAAAGGAGAGGAGAGGGGGTGGCGGGTGGTAATAGGAAAGGGAGGTAATGATAGTAGAGGTGGCGGCAAGAAGTGAAAGGAAGAGGGGGATTGTAGTAGAAGCAGAGATAGTTAAGGGAGGATAGTAGTAGAAGAGGGAAATGAGTATATGTTTTTCGATATGTTTTTTATAAAACTTAGGGTGTTTTAATAAATTTCTGTAGTTAAAGTTGGGAAAAAAATGTTATCTAGTAAAAACATGCCTAGAAAAAGGATGCCAAATGGATCCTTAGATTCGGGTTGAGTTCACATTCCATATTTCAAGTACATTTACTACTGCCAAATATGACCGAGACATGATTAGGGGCATTATGTTAGAAAAATTGACAATTCATCTCTGGCCGAAATTGATGGGAGATTTAAGCTTGGTCGGTTGATGACAAACTTGACAATACCGGTTAGTTCTCTGCCCGAATTCAGGTTTGTTTGGATTGTAAATTATTTGAGGTATTTTTATTGTAGTATTTTTTGTGATGTGATGTATGTGAGATAAAAAGGTAACAAAAAAGATAAAAAACTGTATTAAAAATTGTAATGGTGATGTAAACAAATATATTTATAGAAATAACCCACTATCCAAACAAACCAAGGTACTGTTGATTAGGGGTTTAAATGACATGCACTTTTGTTTTACTTTCTCAGTACAAATTAACTTCTTTAAAAAAAAACACACATTTCTTAGGTGGATGATCCTAAATAATTTCAATTAAGTCGAAATTCAGAAGAGAGATTTTAATTCTCTCAATTCAAGTCAAGGATCATATATATCTGTACAACACTTGACAGTAGGGCTGTAATCGAATCGAGTCGAGCTCGAGTATCGCGATATTCGAGCTCGACTCGACATACAGATAGGGGTGCTCGAGTTCGAGCGAGTAGTATTATTGAAGCTCAAGCTCGAGCTCGAAGCTTGCTCGCAATACTCGAGCTCGACTCGTATGGGCTCGAGTCCATTCGAGTCTTATCGAGCTCGCTCGAATTATTAAATTTCATTTTTTTTATAATTTTTGAGCGAAAAGACATTATTACCCTTTTAAAAATTTTATATGACTTGAAACATTTCGTAAATTCGACAATTCTTTTGGGTATAAGGGTAATTTTATAATAATAATATATTAATAATTAAAATTAAAATATTAAATATTAAATAATTAAAATTAAAATATTAAATAATTAAAATTAAAAATATTAAATAATTAAAATTAAAATACTCGATAAGGCTCGTCGAGTCTTCGAGCATGACTTCTAGATGCTCGAACTCGACTCGATAACCTTATCGAGCTGCTCGAAACTCGACTCGAATTCGATTTGACCGAGTTCGAGTCAAACTCTTGAAGCTGCTCGCGAGCAGCTCGATTCGATTACATCCCTACTTGACAGTTAACTTCCGAGTTAAAGCTGTAGTAGTGAGAAAAAAAAAAGGTACAGGAGCAGTGAAGCATAAAACGCAACAACCGTGGACAACCATTTCTTCTTCTCTAGAATTCAATAAATAAAATTCCAACATTCTCCGAAATATTAGCTGTTTTTGGGGTTGTTTTTCAAAAACAGCACTGTAGCATTTCGTTTTTCAAATACAAGTCCGTTTGGATTAGTTGTTTTTGGGGTTGTTTTTCAAAAATTATATAAAAATCTTTTACTGTAGATGTTTTATGGATTATTTTTAGATGTATTTTTAAAACATATTTTCGAGTATTTTTATAATTTATAATTTATATATTTTTATAACAATATATAATTATACATTTATAAATATTTATAAATAAATAAATTTATATAAAAATATATAAATGTATTATATTATATATAATACATAATATAAATATATTTATAAATGCATAAATTATAAATGAATATTATATAAATGTATAAATTATAAATTATAATTTTTATATTTTTATATTTATATACATTTATGCATTTATAATACATTTATTAATATTTATAAATAAATATATTTAAATATTTATAAATAAATATATTTGTACTTTTATAAATAAATATATTCATATATTTATATATAAATGTATTATATTATATATAATACATAATATAAATATATTTATAAATGTTTAAATGTATATTACTATAAATATATAAATTATAAATGAATATTATATAAATGTATATTATAATTTATAATTTATAATTTTTATGTTTTTATATTTATATACATTTATGCATTTATAATACAATTATAAATATTTATAAATAAATATATTTATATATTTATAAATAAATATATTTATATATTTATGAATA